CGCTATGAGCGTGCTCTGTCCTTGTTCAACTTTTGCAAGTAACAAGGACAGAGTACGCTCATAGCGCTAAATTGCGCCTCCCCGAATGCAGCCACAGGAGTCGATAAGCAAAACCGAAGATGAAGAGCTAATGCTTCAAACGATACATATTATTGTTAGAACAATCTTAGGCGAAATCTACAAGCCAGGTAATATTTACCGCCAAAGAATCATACAAATTAGAAATTTAGTATGCAATAAACGTAACAATTTCGGATTTACCCTTGCCGGTCTCAGGCCCGAATAAACTTGCAGGGATCAAGGACGAGGTCAGTAACCTCTCGGTTGCACAAATGAAGGCGAATTAATCGGTAAAAAAACAGTTTAAACCTACTTTAAATGGAAAAGGAAGAAGAAGAAGAAGTATGTAACAAATATATATATAACAATAATAATAATACATATATAATCATAATATCGTGACGTAAACGACAAGAGGACAATATACAGCTAGCAAGGGATATAAAGCAATTTGGAAATGAAGGGAAATACAAGGAAGTTGAAAGTGGCACTGTCCCAGTAGGGATTAACATCTGCAGAAGAGGCAGATGCACAAAATCGATGATCGCTGATCGGATTGAAAGGAGCAGCGACCGTAACAGGTGCCGCGCTGCTAGATAGCGCAGAGAAACGCATGCCGGTCATTGTCGTTTCCAAGGGCATGCCGCTATAAAAAAAAAACCTATCGGACTCGAGAACGCGATGTTTAAAAAGAGGGCTCACGGGAAAATGAACAGAACGAGAGAGAGAGAGAGAGAGAGGGGGGGGGAGAGAGAAAGGGGGATAGGAGGAGAATGACCTTGATGGATAGGGTTGTCCAATGAGGAACCCGAAAAAGAACGAAGGGCATAGATGTGTGAATTGTACAGCACGTTCTGCGTGTGTTACTTTTCCCGCGTTCATGTGCACATGTGTGAACGGGGCTGAGTGTGTGCACCGATTATACAGGGTGTCCAATTGTGTTTGTCACGTACTTATAATCGGAAGAAAAAGAAATGAGAGAGAGCGAAACGCGCTGTTTCCGTCGTTGCGATGTGTAAAAGTTTTTCCAAAATTACTCGTTAACCCTTTCTCTTGGTCACAGTCGCCAGAAAATGTTCCGCGAAAAATAGGAAACCCGGTGAAAACCACGAAGCAAGTCGTTTTACTCAAGACGATCACGAGACACGGTAGTGTCTCGCGCCAAGTATAAGCGTATGCTAAAACCACGCGCGCGATATTCTTATTTTCGATATCCTTTTTCCCGATGGGGTGTCCGAATTTGAAAAAGAGAGTGGAGGAAAAAGGGTTTAGAAAGTAACCCTTTGACTAAATTCGCCGAAAGAATTTTAGATCGTTTTGAAAATAAAAATATACTGCGTCTCCTGTGTCCTGTGTTCTGTGTCCGAAACCTTTTTTATAATATAAGAAAACGCGGAGTCGGGATTTCAAAGTAGAGTCGCTTGCACATTTGCATTGCACACAATATCCGGCACATTTCACTGACTTGCTGGAAATATTATTCAATATGTTTCACACGAATCTCCAATTATCTCTTTTCATACAATTACAATGTACAAAGTAACTTTTCACACCGACGTCACTTGACACACTGATCGCACTGTCTCTACATTTATGAGTGGATAATAAATAAAACTGTCCATCATTTTAGCCATTTTCCGTCAAGACATATCTTTTAAAACATACTGCCGCGGTTTATTTTGGTAGCAACACCGAGACACCCCGTAGAGAGTCAGGTTAAAATTTCTAAACCCCAAATGTCCACGCATTCTACTCCCTAAATGCCATCGCAGGCTCCCTAAAGCCTGCGCCTGTTAAAGACCAGCTCTTCGCACATGGTCTTTCAACCACTTTCGACTTCCCCGTGCATTCTACGCCTTTGGAATATACCGGGTATGTTAATGTAAACGTAATACGTACAGTCGTCAGCATAAAGGTCACGTTTATCATGATGCTGTCAAATTTGTGTACATCGAAATAAATGCGTTCTGAATGCAGTAACATGACTACTTATACACGTGATCAGTTGACGAAATTTCAAGTGCAAGCGATCCGCAATATCTAATACGTTATGATGTCCGCAACATATCAGCAATAAATGATTCGTCGTTCCATCTTAAGCATCGTGATGCTGACACGTTGCAAACAGTTAGTCGTTATTGGAATTAGTAGTCATATAAGTTCAACTTAACAGACATAATGCTGCCTCACCTTGTTCCGAGTTTGTTACGACTAATTGTTTCAAGGATTTCGGCAACATGTCGGCAAATTTACAGCATTTGGCTATCTGGGAATGTTCGTTATAGCAATTTGTCCGTTGCCCAGATTCAAGCTGACCAAAATTAATGACAACATTTATTAATCGCGAGCAGAATATATTTTTCTAAAACTCACAGGCAGTACCGGCTCTTGCCTTTTACCCCATTCACTATACAAGACTCTTGTTTCAACTTCTCTCTACAACGGTTCGCAACGATCTCCTTGTCGTTTGCATATTTCCGCAAGTGTTCTGCAGGAAATGCGTTCAATAAAATCAATTTCTTCGTAATTGCATGGCACAATAGCAACACATTCAAACCGTCTTGTACACTGAGATCCTCACCAGAGGTGACTCAGAGAGGGTCAGTCGTGTCGGATAATCATATATTTTGTTTGTGCCGAATAAATATAAAGCATCAGGACTATACATTCCTAAAGAAACCTAAAAGAATTCCACGATATCGAGAAGAATCTTATCGCGAAATAAACACGAAGAAGAAGATATATATAAAGATACCATGGTCACTTTTGGTAAATTCCTATCTATTTTTATGCGTCTAGAAAAATGCAGCATAGTTACATTTTTCTGCTATATCTTCTTACTTATATCTTACGCATTTATGTCCTGTATCAGTTTTATATCTCGTCTACATCTTTACGCGTTTATTTTTACAGGTATAATACATAAAATATTTCCAGCGCGTCGATCTAGGGCGCATTGATCTTAAGCCCGTATCAGACTACGGATTGCGATTGAGATTAGACTGAAATTGGACCAATTAAAAGTTATCCGTAGTCTGATACGGGCCTAACTGCATGTCCTTCACGTTTCTTAATTTGGAAAAATGTGACTTGGACACGGTCGTCTTCATACATCCGGAGATCGTTACCCGTTCGTTTCGCAAATTTAAGATCTCTAACACAAAAGGAAAGGGATAAGAAAAGGATTGCCCCGAGGGACTCGTAAAGTTTTTGTCGATTCGCCCCGAGCACTTTGACATCGACCGTTCGTGATATTCGCAACAATGAGAAACAAACCCTAGCGTATGGACACATCTTTTATTTGAATTGTTCAATGCGAATAGTTCCAGAAAGAGTTAAAATAGGAGACGCGCAAAAATATAGAGGAAAAATAAATAATATGTATAGGTCGATAAATTTTCTTCCTTTATACGAAGCGTATACGAAGGAAACCATCGTACCAAAAGGAATGAGTACATACAAGTTCCGAAAAATAATAAAGTCTAAAGTCTAAAGATCATAAGTCTAAAAGATCCTTCGTTCTACATCATAGGCTGAAGTATTTATAATAGATAAAAGATCCGGTACAAAAATTTATATGACAGATTCCGTCTTTCCTGTGAACATATTTTGTACACTGAGAAAAGTCTTGGTCACATATACATATCTTATATCTTGCATTTGAACAATTTTTTCATAGAGCAAATATTTTACGGTCGTCATATTAAATGACTCACTCTGTATATATGTATCCCTATTCAATATAATTTTCTTTAGTTTTGCATTTATTCCTGTTGAGAGTAATTGTTTTCTTTTGACATGAAGCAAACACCAAAATGACAGTCAAAATCACCATCAAGGCATGGAACGTTTTGCAGTCAAATTGTCAACATTTTGCCATTATTTTGACTACTCATATCCCTCATCAATTTTCAATTCACTTTATTTGTCAACAACTGGAAAATGTTGTAAGCGTTTACTAATGCGTTAACTAACCATAAGTAAATTAATTTTCTGAGCAGGAATGAAATGAAATATTTTTAACAATTAGAAAAATTGGATATATTTTACAGAAATGTATATTCTGTTATTATAGCCAAATTTCTTTATAATCAAGAAAAATCGAAGAAAATGTCACAAGTAACATTTGTTTCTGAATATTTCGACTTTCTATCAGTGTAATTATTTATAGCTGGTTACAAAATCTGTATTATCTGCATATAGAAAAAATAATATAGGGCGACTTACCAATACAGTATTACAGAAAACAAAGTACAAACAAAATTTTATGTATATGATTATACTTTTTTATATTCTATTTTATTATCTACTCAATATGTGCAGTTATTTCCAAGGCGAGGCGTTCAACGTTGTATTGAACTACAGGTACTCGAGCATCTCTTTTCAGTTTTGACATATTTCACAGGATAGATAGAAACCTTCGTAAATCTCAGATTTTTCGCGCGGCCTTTTTAACCCTTTTTTTTATCCTTTCCGATCTTTGACATTTATGCGAAACGAAGGTCTTTGCAGAGAAGTTTAATTCAAAAGACCAAAGGGCAATGTTAAAAGAAGGTGTTTCGCTCCAAAGATTAAAATAATCCTTTCCTGATTTAAAGGTGCACTAACAATAAATCAAAGTAAGCGACATGGTCATATTTGCACAAAGTCACAGCAAGAAGTGGAAAAACAATGCTACGCGGCAAAAAATCAGAAACATGAAATTGTTTTGTGAGGTTTCTAAAGTTTCTTCAGCAAATGGAAATCATCCTACCGATCAAATTGATTTATTGTATGAAAACTAGAAGCGGAAAAATTCCTCAACGTTATTTCTGCAACTCCACCAATATATTAAACGATATTGTGTATTTGTTATTTTATAGAGCAAGCTATGATAAACAAACGAATGTTCTGAAACGTATAGAAAGGTTTTTAGGAAATTTCAAGGAAAAATTTTTAGCTACAAAACTTATACCTTTATTTTTCGTAGAGACGTGTGAATTATTCGAATACGAATTGAATCAAATCGGGCGAAATAGTAATAAGTAAAATATTATGGTGATATTAATAGATGCATTCAGTACTGCAACCGTTCATTGATCGGTTAAGTAGCGATAAAATGTAACTAATTCTTATCTTTAAATTCGACTACAGATTTTTCAACTAAATGTTCAATTACTGCAACATTAAATATACTTTACTAGTTTTATATTAAATATTGAAATCTTTTCTGTTTTACCTCAAAACAAATTTATATTTATAATCATTATTACTTTTCTACAATCACAACAAAATTTTCTCTTATCATCTACAAGTAACAATGCAATAATTATATTGTTAATTACAAACTATATTTCAACAATTCAATTCGATTCACTTCGATTCGGATTCATAAAAAGAAATAAACTTAATTCGACTTAATTCGACCTAATTCGACGTAAAAAATCCTTCATTCGCACATCTCTACTTTTTTGAACAAATGTTGCATTTTATATAGCAATACATAAAAAATACAATAATAATACAATAATAATAATAATCTCGATAAATAGTAAATGATACAAATTATAAGAGATATTATATATACGTTGTAAACGGCTTGTACAATGTATTTTACAAATGTTTAATGCGCATATATATACTACAACTTGCACATACACCTCACTTACTTATATGTAATAGTTGCTATCTAATAAGTAATATGTCATGAGAGTTTGTGTGTGAAATAAATACTGGTCAACTTTTTATAAAAAAGATCGAAGGCTCTAGCAAATATTTCTTTAATCTATCGGCGGATCTGTTTGAACGGTTTTGCTTTCTACAGAACATTCTTTATTTAAGGAACCATACTTATTTGCAATATTTACTATTTCTCGAAGCGTGGCATTCTCTTCCTTTAAAGAATGAAGCGTCTCCTTCTCCTTCAATTCATTCTCCTCGTCTAAAGCAGCGGCTGTCTTCATCACGGCTGCCATTTCATTAATTTTCTCTGCTTGACTCGTTATTATCTGCGAAGTAACAAAATATATATGTATTAATGAAAGCTGCACAATATTGTATTTCTTAATCTTTTGCCTTGTAGTTCCCAATTAGATTAGGCGAATCTATATGATAAATAAGTAGTAACGATTTTAGATGTAGGATTACAAGTCTGAACTCGTTTATTGATTAAAGCAGATCTTTTTACTTACATTAGCGTATTTTGAATTGTGCATGGACGAGTAATCAGTTTTGTTGAGGCGTAATAAAGAGGCAGTTTGCTGTCGGTATTTGGACATTATGAGTTCAAGAGCATGCTGGTGGTCTTCTAACGCGTTTCTCAACTCCTTGTTCTCCGCCTGTATTTCTCGCAAGTGCTTATTTTCCCTTTGGATCCCGGCGATCAGCTGTAAGTGCGGCCTCTGCTTCGCTTCCGTATTTAAAATTTCTACCTCCTCTTGATACTGAGGATAAATTGTAAACATATAATATATAGCACATACACATACATATATATATATATATAACTTTAGCATTTGTAGTATGCATGTACATTCGTAAATACATCTCTACCTGCTTCATGTTATCAATTTGTCCACACACAGCCTCTACTTCGCTTATCAGGGTATCTGCCGTATTCTCATGGTCTGAAATTCGAATAACCAGTTTTTTGGCATCCAATATAATCTGCTGGAACGTCAACGACATCTGCAAGCACATACAAATTCGATTTATCTACAAAGTTGCATTCACTTCATCATCCAAACATGTATCGCTCAGCTTCAACAATGTCTAGTGCTAGTAACAGATGCTAATAACAGGAAGAGAGTTGCGACAGCGAACCATATGAGCACTTCTGCCTTTTAATTTATCTATAAAGTTGCATTTACTTCATCATCCAA